GGCACCCAGCCCCATCCCCAGCAGCGCCCGAGCCGGGCCCCTCGCGGCACTCTGCCCCGTCCCGCAGGCTACTTCATCCACGACAGCTTGGACATCATCATGAACCAGCAGGCGCGCTCCTCCTAGGAGGACCTGGTGCACCATGCCATGGTAAGGACCTCAGTGCTGCCCAGACGGAGCCCTGCCCTCCTTCACCCTGGTGCCAAGTAGGCGATGGTGCCACTGGGGAGGAGCCCTGGGGAGCCACGAGGATCTCCTGGTGGGGGGGGATGCCCCTGGGGACACGCTGGTGGCCAAGACCTTGGAGGTGTCCCAGCACCCGGGCAAGGCGGGGGGCTCACCTTGCCGCGCTGCCCGCCAGGCCATCTCTGCCTTCGTCTCGCTCATCATCACGGGCCGCTTCCTGGTGGCGGCGATGCTGCTGCTGCTGGTGGAGGTGAGCAACATCTTCCTCACGGTGCGCATGCTGCTGAAGATGAGCAACGTGCCTTCGCCGGCGCTCTACGAGGTGAACAAGTACGTCAACCTGGTGATGTACTTCGCCTTCCGCCTGGCGCCCCAGGCCTACCTCACCTGGTACTTCCTACGCCACGTGGAGGTGCAGGGCCAGGGTGCCTTCCTCATGGCCAACCTCTTGCTGCTTGACGCCATGATCCTCATGTACTTCTCCCGCCTCCTGCGCTCCGACTTCTTCCCCTCCTTGCACAAGGCCTCTGCGGGGAGAGACGTGGACGGGGAGAAGTTCCTGATAGACTGAGACGCGTGTGCTGGGGCGGGAGCCCGGCTCCGGCTCCGGGAGGCCTCCGGCCTTCCTTACCTGCTCTGATGTGCCTTAGGGCTCGCTCCTCGGCCACGGGCGCTGCCTTCACCCGCTCTGCCGCCTCCAAGCACTCGCTACCCTCCTGGGCCACCCCCCCGGCCTTGCAAAGCCACGGGGCCACCGCCAAAGCCAGGGGCCGAACGGATGAGACGGAGCCAGGGCCGACTCCCGCGCAGGTCGCTTGAGGGCCGGGAGCGGCTGCCTTGTGCAGCCAACGGCTGTGAGAGTTGCGAGGGAAGGGCCGAGTCCCTCCTACGTTGTTGTTGGGCGTTACGTGCATTAAATGAGTCTGTTCACTGCTGCCGCAGCACGTCTGGGCTGGCCTTTCTGTGGGGCAGAGCGCGCAGCCGCCTTCCCAGCGCAGAGCCAAGGTGGAAAGCGCATGGGGAGGATGGGGAGTAACTGGGATATGGGAAGGGACGTGTTGCCGTTCCCATGGGGAAAGCGCGCAGCCGCCTTCCCAGCGCAGAGCTGATGCAGAAAGCCCATGGGGAGGATGGGGAGGAACTGGGACATGGGAAGGGACGCGTTGCCATTCCCATGGGGAAGGAGAGGGCACATTTCTGCTCCTTGCATCGAGACACCCGTGAGGGAGGCACCAGCCCCTTCTGCGGAGGGGTCCTCCTGTTCTTCCTCACTCTTCCAGAAATCCCTGAGCTCTCGAGGCCGAGCAGGCAGGGGGAGAAGGGAGCCAGGCGCGATGCCGAGGCCCGCTGCAGTCCCCGACCTGCCTGCCCGCCTGGGCTGCGTGACTCACCCGGCAGCCACGTGAAGTGGAGCTGGCATGGGAAGGCCGTGTGAGGCCGCGGGCTCTTCCTGCAAGACGACTGCACATTCATGTCCCCCTGGAGCCACCTTCCTCAGCACGGCACAGCGCCCGTCCCGTGGGACGCCCTCCTGCAGGAGCAGGAGCCGGCTGCCTCCCCAGGCCCGAGGGCAGCAGGGGGACAGGGGGACCTGGCCCCCCTGCAGCAGCAGCGGGGCTGAGCTGGCCCGGCCGATCCCATGGAGCTCCACAGCGCTGGGAAGACAAATCCTGCTGACGTGACAGCTCCAGGATCCCTCTGGACTAGCATGAGCAGCCTGGCTTAGAGAGACAGCCGCCCAGCCCCCGCTGCAGGGCAGGATCAACCCCATGGATGCCGCTGCCAGCAGAGCTGTTTGAAGAGAGCAGGCAATGGTAGCACAGCCGAGGATGGAAGGGGAGCAACCTCCCCATCCACGGAGCGCTGGGAGCCCCATGGCCAGCGATGCTCCCCAGGACTCCCCAGCAAGTGCTGAGGACACCTAGGCCAGCACAGGGGCTGGGGACAGCCTGGCAGTCAGAGCAGGGACACGATACCCAGGACGCTGCGTGGGCAGGAATCTACGGAGGCTTCAAAGCAGCTGCCTCACCCGCCCAAGCGCAGGGCTGAGCAAACCCACGGCCAGCAGCTCCTCGCAGCCGCCGCGCCGAGCTGCAGGGAGCCTTGCGCTAGCAGCACATCGCAACAGCTACCCCTCACCTCAGCGGATGCAGTTTAACCCTCCTAAACATGAAATCCACCTGCAAACACCCCACAGTCAAGCTGAGTTCCTAGTTTTCCCTCACCCCAATTTCTGCACCCTTCTCCTTGTCTTTCCTAGTACGCAGTGGACATGGATGTGCCCTGAGAGCTGGAGTGACCAGCTGAGGGGTCGGCAGCACCCAGACCTTGGTGTGATGAAGCTTTCCAGAACAGGGAGCCCGGCTCCCCTCCTGGCTCCCAGCCATGGCATCTTGGAGCGCCGCACCGGCCGGGCTGGGGCAGCTATGGGGCGGGCTGGCTGCCAGCCCCAGCGCAAGAGCGAGCGCTGGGAAGCTGCACGCCGGGTGCCAGGCGGCAGCAGCAGCCGCTGGGCTAAGTTGAGGCAGGGTCAGGGCAGATTGCAAGTCATGCTGATGTGAAAACCCTTCCCGGCTCAGCCTCTGCAGTGCCAGGAGGGCCACAGCTCCTGCCTGCTCCTCAGTGTGGCCCAGAGCCCCCCAGAAGCAGCTCTCAGCTATTTGGGTGACAGGGCCCACATCTTCCCAGGGGAAAGCACAACTCTGCGGAGCAAAGGGCATGGGGGCAGCCCCAGGCATTCCTTGCAGAGCCCCTGGTGCTGCTTCTCCCCTTCCTCAGTGCTCAGCACACCCAGTAGGCCAAAGCCTGGGTAGGTGCCCATATCCTGGTTGAAAATCGGCGCGCTCAGACTACCACAAACACTGGATACAGCCCAGAGAGAGCAGATCTGTCCCAGGGCTTCGCGCCGCTGCACTCCCAGCAGTAGAGCTGTATCACTGGCAGGGAAGGCGGCAGCTCTTATCCCTCTTTTCAGCCTTATCTGTTTCCAAACACCTTGTCAACAACCTCTGCTCTCAAGGAGCTCCAAGCCCCTGGCTCAGGCTTGGGAAGGCTGAAGGCCCAGAGCTTTCTCGCATGTTTTTATCCTGCACCCAGGACGAAAGAGACATCTCTGCACAGCACCCATGGATGGGAGAGGAAGCAGCCAGCTGCTGGGGACACAGCCATCCCCCCTCCAGGCGTTCGTTCTCTTCCATATCCGTTGCTCCAACAAGGAATGTTTCCTGCTTTGCTCCTTTTGCGCATGCACAGCCCAACACCCTGCAGGAGCAGCAGGCAGCAAGCACAGGACTCTCCCCGCTGCTCTACACCCAAGAAGAGCTTCAGGGTGGCTTCAAGAAGCACACGAGGGCAGCCAGGGTCCGTCCACACAACCAGGAGCACTACAGGACAGCCTTTGTCCCAGACAGGGACAGGGCACGATGCCAGCTGCCCTGTGTCACAGCAGTGGAGCACATGTGTGACAGCTCCACAGAACATCCCTGTGCTGCCACAGAAACCACCCGCAATTGAAGGCAGTTTGTGTCTCACCTTGCAGATCTCAGAACCTGGAGCTCTTCCACAGCAGACTCTGGTGAGGGCCAAGCCCCAGTATGACCCAAGCGGCTCTCGGTCACCCAAAACAGAACCTTCCCCAGGTCCTGCAAGCAGATCAGGCCCCCCTTCCACCTCACTGCCACCCTTTTCACATGCAAACCACTATTCCAGGGTGCTCGTGCTCAGGTCTCAAATACCCTCTGCAAGAAGCTAGGACAGGAACACAATATCCCACTAGCTAAGAGCTCCTTTACCCTGATCAATATTTGGTCACCAACTTTCGCCATCTCTTAGTGTAACTACGTACTTAAAGACTAAGCAACCCTAACTGCTTATCTAAATACCTAAATGTTTTATTGCTATTTCCTGCTTCTTGAGTGCTCCACATTCTTAGGACTCTCTAAACACTCAGAAAATCTGAGGAAGCAAAAGACTGCAGAGGCAGCAACAGTAGTTCGGAAACCGCTTTGATCAGGACCATGAACTCAGTGAGGTCATGGGCAACATAACAGGAACAGTGTCAGGGAAACCAGGCTGCAGTGAAGGGGACAAGGGATGATGCCAGAAAATACAATAAGCAGAACAGCAGAACAGCCACTAGTTTGAGGGGTTTGTGAAGTCTGCAGCCTATGTGAAATTGATAAAACTAGGGAAATGGTGGAATATGCAGCTGGTGCCAGACCTGAGCCAGAAACACATCTGTTGTGATCAATACCTACCTCCTGATACTGGGACACTTGTGGAAAGCTCCAGAGTGATACAGTAAGGAAGCTATGTGGGACACAGAACAGTGATTGCAAGCACATGCCAATTACACAGTGCAAGGAGACATTACCACACGTCTCTGCTAAACAGCGTACTTGAGATTCAGGGCAGTGTCACCTCATTTGAGTTTATCCGCAGCACAAAAAACAGGTCAGTGATCCAAGAGCCCCGCAGCCATGAGAAACCAGACATGGGGCAGCACTCAGCACAGGTAATGCCACATTCCTGCCAGCCCAGCACCAGGCTGCAGCACGAGGGGAGCTCGGCTTACAGATACGCAGCCCCCAGGCTCTGGCTGCTCTTTTGCGTGGGCTGTGTGGTCATAAAACACAGGAGCCCCTCGGTAGTTTAACAGGATTTATTATCCCATCTGTACAGTCCTCGGCAGAAGCATTTTAGATGATTCCAATCTAGAAAAAAGGAAGAAAACGTTAAAACAGATGCTACGGCAGCAGAAAGGCAGAACCCTCCACCACACTCATTGCTGCCACAACTACAGTGATCTCTCCTTGTCCCCTAAGGACAGTCTCGCTCCTCCCAGACTTGCTCAAGTGCCTCACTTCTAGCACAGCCCCATCCTACACTTACTCCACTGTGACCCCTTGTGTTGATTCAGGTAATTGTGCTCCCTGTCTCCAATATCTGTACTACCACTAGGACAGAAATGCTCCTTCACCCCAGCCAGCAGGGCAGAAAGCACAAGGAAAGCGTCTCCTCTTCGTGCAGTAGCCACCGATGTTACTCAGATGGGCTGCACTGGCCATGGACACTGCTAGGAAAAGCACTGCTTGGACTCGGAGGCTGCTTGGAGGAACTTTCGTATCATTTACCCTGCAATATTTTACAGCTCTCAAGTCTCAGAGCACAGCCCGAGCTACAGAACAGCATCTATCCTGTCAGGGACTTCAAAACTTTTCAAAATGCTCATGAACACTGCTGGATCCAGCTGAACAGCAAGGATATCACCCCGTTCTTAACACAGCCCAGGATCCCACTGGCCTCCTCGTGGCCAAGAAGGCCAATGGGACCCTAGGGTGAGTTAAGAAGAGCATGTCCAGCAGGTCGAGGGAGGGGATCCTGCCCCTCTACTCAGCCCTGGTGAGGCCGCATCTGGAGTATTGTGTCCAGTTCTGGGCTTCACAGTACAAGAGGGATGTGGAGCTGCTGGAGAGAGTCCAGCGCAGGGCTACAAGGATGATCAGGGGCCTGGAACATCTGCCCTATGAGGAGAGGCTGAGGGAGCTGGGCCTGTTCAGCCTGGAGAAGAGAAGGCTGAGAGGGGATGTGATCGGTGTCTATAAGTACCTCAAGGGAGGGAGTGAGGAGGATGGAGCTAGCAGAGCTAGAGGAAACGGCCAGAAACTGAAGGATCATTAGTTCCACAAGAACTTAAGGAAAAATTTCTTAACAGTGAGGGTGACAGAGCACTGGAACAGGCTGCCCAGAGAGGTTGTGGAGTCTCCTTCTCTGGAGATCTTCCAAACCCGCTTGGACGCAGTCCTGTGCCACGTGCTCTAGGTGACCCTGCGTGTGCAGGGGGGTTGGACTGGATGATCTCTAGAGGTCCCTTCCAACCTTGGGCATTCTATGATTCCATGATTCTGTGACACTCCACAGAGGTGCTGGTGTGCACACCACAAGTGTCTCATGTGAACACCAAGAGCAGCAGCCTGGTGCAGAAAATACAAGACAGCAAATAGGAGCTGACAAAGTTTCAAGAATTTCTCACCTTGTTTGCTACATCCAGAGCATCATAGTCGGGAGCCAGGCGAACATAGGCCTTCTTCTCCCCGTCAGGCCTGCAGGGCAATGAGAGATGTGAGCACAGGGACATGCAGCTTCCCCTACCCACCCCACGTGCCTGCTCCCGCAGTGTGCATCAGTGGTTCCTTTGGAAACATCACTTTAGTCAGTGGAAAAAAAAGTTCACATCATCTGCACAGCACCCTTGGTGCCAGAAAGATCCCCAAGGAAGGCAACCCTCCGGTCTGCTACCATTTTGCACTCCCATTTAAGCAGATCTGAGACAGAAATTGCATTTATCAAAAGCGTAACACTACAAACACTACAGTGCTTAACCCCAGCCTTCCTTAGAGCACTGCTGAAACTTGCTTGTCTTTGTTTTTTCTGCTAAAAGCCACTCTGGGCACCCAACACATCCATACCCTCCTCTCCCTCTCTTACCTAATCAATGTGTTGACCTTGGCCACATCGATATCATACAACTTCTTGACAGCCTGTTTGATCTGATGCTTGTTGGCCTTGACATCAACGATGAAAACTAAAGTGTTGTTGTCCTCTATCTTCTTCATTGCTGATTCTGTGGTCAAAGGGAACTTGATAATGGCATAATGGTCAAGCCTGCCAAAGAGAGACCCTTTGGTTACACAAGGCCAGCAGAAGCTGCTGCCACCACACTCGGAGGGCTTTCAAACACTGCAGATATCATTTAAAGAAAGTTGGGGGTGCATCAGTTGCCAAAAAAAAGTTCTAATCACAAGCTCTCAGGCTTTGGTCGCATGTAAACATCACCTGCACCCCAACAACCAAGTGTAAAGCTCAGCCCCCAGGGCAGCCCACTAAAAATGTCCTCTGTTAGCAGGGACCTTTGGAGGGACACAACCTCCCCCAAGGGCACCTTGTGCATGGGGCTGCTCTATCTCATAGACCCTACAGCAGGGCCCAACACCCCACACGTACTTGTTCCTCCTTGGGG